TATAATTTGGACTCTGTTGCTGTAAAACATGTCCAGTAAAAAATTTAAACTCTCAAATTTCCTGGCATGGCAGCAAAAACAACGGGCCAAAATGTACTCTGCAGGTATATTTGCTAAAAAAAAAAATCACAATATGTGTAAATTAATTTTTTTATGTGAAATTTATAGCGTTTACAAATGCCGAGTAATAGATACTGAAATATTTTAGTTTATACTAATAATGGCGGCGATCAACTATGGAATGCGATCAGTGACTTATGGCTGGATTGCGGCGGGCATAAATCTGACACTGGGGAAATAGACTTGGTATCACTGATCATCCCCAGTGACACCAATACGTGATCAGTGCAAAAAAACAATGAGCTCCAAAAAAAGCACCGACACTGTACTAATGGCACTTGGGGTAGGAAGGGGATAACATTTGGGGGAAATGAAGGGTTAACTGTGTGCTGGGAGTGTTTTACTAGGGGGCTCGTTTCTGTGCTTTCTGGTAAGTACACTGATCGGATGGCTGGCTCTGATTTGCTCACGCATCTTCACAGTGTGCCCAAACTGACAGGACGGAGGGCTGCAATTGTGCTAAACAATGCAGCCCTCCTCCCTGTCGGTGTTTGCCGAGCAATCACCGACCGGGACCACAGTCATTGACACCTGGGGCCACGGATACTAGGAGGCGTTGCACGCCTTGGTATACCCCCCACCCGATAATGCAAAATTACATATATGATATCATATATATATATATATACACAGTGGGGCAAAAAAGTATTGTCTGTCAGCCACCATTTCCTGTGCAAGTTCTCCCACTTAAGATGTGATGGACTGAGTCGAGGACCTGTAATTGGCATCATAGGTAGAGCTCTACTATGAGTAGAGTTGCAAAATGAGAATAACGTGGATCCAGTGCAGTCACATGCCTGATGATCCTTGGAAAAGAATTTATTTCTGCAAATTATGGTGGAAAATAATATTTGGTCAATATCAAAAGTTCATCTAAATACTTTGTTATATATCCTTTAACTGGCAATGACAGAGGTCAAACGTTTCCTGTAAGTCTTCACAAGGTTGGCACACACACTGTTGCTGGTATATTGGCCCATTCCTCCATGCAGATCTCCTCTAGGGCAGTGATGTTTTGGGGCTGTCGCTGGGGCAACAAGGAGGACTTTTAACGTCTCCTCCAAAGGTTCTCTATGGGGTTGAGATCTGGAGGACTGGCTAGGTCACTCCAGGACCTTGAAATGCTTCTTACGAAGCCACTCCTTCGTTGCCCGGGCGTTATGTTTGGGATCATTATCATGTTGGAAGACCCAGCTACGTTTCATCTTCAATTGCCCTTGCTGATGGAAGGTTTGCACTCGAAATCTCACGATACATGGCCCCATTTTTCTGTCCTGTACAATGGATCAGTCGTCCTGGTCCCTTTGTGGAAGAAACAGCCCCAAAGCATGATGTTGCCACCCCCATGCTTCACAGTAGGTATGGTGTTCTTTGGATGCAACTCAGCATTCTCTCTCCTCCAAACACGACGAGTTGTTTTAAAGCTACCAAACTGTTCTATTTTGGTTTCATCTGACCATATGACATTCTCCCAATCCTCTTCTGGATCATCCAAATGCTCTCTAGCAAACTTCAGACGGGCCCGGACATGTACTGGCTTAAGCAGGGGGACACGTCTGGCACTGTAGGATCTGAGTCCCTGGCGGCGTAGTGCGTTACTGATGGTAGCCTTTGTTACGTTGGTCCCAGCTCTCTGCAGGTCATTCACTAGGTCCCCCCGTGTGGTCCTGGGATTTTTGCTCACCGTTCTTGTGATCATTTTGACCCCACGGGGTAAGATCTTGCGTGGAGCCCCAGATCGAGGGAGATTATCAGTGGTCTTGTATGTCTTCCATTTTCTAATTATTGCACCCACAGTTGATTTGTTCACAACAAGCTGCTTGCCTATTTCAGATTCAGTCTTCCCAGCCTGGTGCAGGTCTACAGTTTTGTTTAATCTGGTGTCCTTTCGACAGCTCTTTGGTCTTCACCATAGTGGAGTTTGGAGTGTGACTGTTTGAGTTGTGGACAGTGTCTTTTATACTGATAACAAGTTCAAACAGGTGCCATTGATACAGGTAATGAGTGCAGGACAGAGGAGCCTCTTAAAGAAGAAGGTAACAGGTCTGTGAGAGCCAGAAATCTTGCTTGTTTGTAGGTGACCAAATACTTATTTTCCACCATAATTTGCACATAAATTCTTTTCAAATCAGCCAATGTGATTTGTCTGGATTTTTTTCTCATTTTGTCTCTCATAGTTGAGGTCTACCTATGATGCCAGTTACAGGCCTCTCTCATCTTTTTAAGTGGGAGAACTTGCACAATTGGTGGCTGACTAAATACTTTTTTTGCCCCACTGTACGTGATGTGGGCCCACCCTGCAGCAGTAAAAGGCGGACCTTATGCGGTTAATATTGTTAAATTTGTTGTCAATATTTATTCTGCATAAGACATTTAACATTGTCATTTCATGAGATAATTAACAAGGGCGTGCTTAGGGGCAGAGCAGGTTAGGGCTTGGGTGGGGCAACTGGTGGCGAGTAACACTTAAGGCCTGGCTTGAGCCCTGTTGTATATATCTAAAATCTGGTGAAAAAGCATGCCTGTCCCCTTTTTGTTATCTCACATGCACTATACCAGACAACTAAGTCTGTGATACAGTGTTTATGTAGTGGTCATCTTCCAGTTTATTAGTAGGTGAACCTGCTTATTGCAAAAGAATTTACAATCAACCCCTGTTATTTTAGGATAACTCTGTGCCCTCTGGGCTGGAATTCTATAGCTAGATTTAGCTCGGGGCTCAATAAGCAGCATAGGTTAGAGCCAGATTAGGCATCTGACCAATGGGCTATTAATGCTTTCGCTACCAGGCCCTGAGCTTCACTTTTAAACCCAGGTGCATTTTTGCAATTTTTCCATTGCTTTTTTATATTTTTCCCTTACAGCTTTTAGAGTTTGTAAAAGACCCCCCGAACCATATATAGTCTAAAAGCACATGACCAGTAAATTAAAAAGAAGATGCTACTGATTTTTAGGGCCCCATAATATTGTGCAAATGTTTATCAAATCATTATTTTTGCAAAAAAATACACTAAAATCATTATTAGCAGGAACAAACAGAAAATTTTACAAAATTCCTACTAAATATAAAAGCTTAACCTGTATTGAGTTAATAAATAACAAATATTTGTACAAATTTAAATTGTGCATTTTTGTGAAATGGTTAAAAATCGAACATATGCAAAACTGTAAATAATGACATTTCTCAAAAAATCTGGAGGGTTTAATTTTTCACTTACAACTTTTATTTATAGAAGACCCCCTAAATATATTTTCTGAAAGCACATAACCAGTAGAATAAAAAGAATGTGCTACTGATTTTTAGGGACCCATGATATTTGCACAAATGTTTATCAAAACAATATTTTCACTAAAAACACACTAAAATCATTATTGGCAGTCAAAAACACAGCAGATTGTACAAAATTCCTGCTAAATTCCTACTAAATATAAAAGTTTAAACTGTATCGAGTTAATACCAAATATTTGTACATTTTAAGTTATGCCTTCTTGCGAAATGGTGAAAATTGAATGTATGCAAAACTGTAAATAACCAAATTTCTCTAGAAATCTGGAAGTTTTCATTTTTTACTTACAGCTTTCATAGTTTGTAAAAGACCCCCCCCCCCCCCCAATCCATATATTTTCTGAAAGCACATGACCAGTAGAATTAAAAGAAGGTGCTACTGATTTTTAAGGCTTGCACAAATCAAAGCAATATTTTCACTAAAAATCATTATTAGCAGATACCAACATAGCAAAATTTTACAAACTTCCAGCTAAATTTCTTACTAAATATAAAAGCTTAACCTGTATTCACTTAATAAATAACAAATACAGTGGGCAAAATAAATATTGAACATGTCACCAATTTTCTAAGTAAATATATTTCCAAAGGTGCGATTGACATGAAATTTTGATTACATGTTGGTAACAACCCATGCAATCCATACATACAAAGAAACCAAAACAAATAAGTTCACAAATTAAGTTATGTGTAATAAATTGGAATGCCACAGGGAAAAAGTATTGAACACACTAACTGAAATTTATTTAATACTTAGTACAAAATCCTTTGTTGGTAATAACAGCATCAAGACGCCTCCTGTATGGGGAAACTAGTCGCATGCATTGCTCAGGTGTGATTTTCGCCCATTCTTCCACACAGTCTTCAAATCTTGAAGGTTCTGTGAGCCTCTTGAACTCTAATCTTTAGTTCTTTCCATTGATTTTTCTATTGAATTTAAGTCAGGTATTTTGGCTGCATTCTAGCAGCTTTATTTTCTTTCTTTGAAACCAACTGAAGGTTTTCTTGGCTTTGTGTTTGGCATCATTGTCTTGCTGAAATGTCCACCCTCATTTCATCCTCATCATCCTGGTAGATAGCAGCAGATTTTTATCAAGAATGTCTTGATACATTTTCCATTCATCCTTCCTTCAATGCAATTGCGTCCCGAGGCAGGTGCGAGCCGCACCAGGTGACACCTACCGCATGGGGTGACACGGGACCCGCTCCATGCAAAGGTAAGTTGTAAAGAAAGCCGACGATCCCCGCAGGATGGATCATATCTGCAGATTGGGGAGCATAATGGATCGGAGTCTGATCCAATATGCTCAATCCGCAGATCCGATCAATTCTGCGGGGATCGTCGGAGGGGGTGTCACCAAGTGTTATCGCACCGGGGTACACCAACCCTAAGGACACCCCTGCTTCAATGATATGAAGTTTGCCAGTACTGTATGCTGAAAAACAGCTCCACACCATTCACAGGCTTGTCTAAATGTTGTGCAGCAGACTTTAAAACAGGCTTCAACATGCTTTTTCTTCAGCAATGAAGCCTTGCATGGTAAGCGTGCATACAGGCCAAATGGGTTGAGTGCATTACTTATTGTTTCCTTTGAAACAATTGTACCTGCTAATTCCAGGTCTTTCTGAAGCTCTCCACAAGTGGTCCTTGGCTCTTGGACAACTCTTCTGGTACATTTTTTCACTTCTCTGTCAGAAATCTTGCAAGGAGTGTCACGAACACAGGATCGCTGCCACCAATATGTGATGATCCCACGATCATGACGTCCAAGATCTGATGACCGCGGTGTCAGACCCCAGCCCTTCTCACCAACTTGTGACCGAAGGACTAGCCAATCTAAAACCACGATGTCACGTGCGTAACAATACCACACCCAGCACAATGATTTTCCAGCTAATTGGACCACAATCGATGTACTGGCAGCCTGAGCGATTGTAACTGGGTCAGGTTAATTACGCAATTAACTCTTCACACTGCCACTTTTTGTACAGAGAAAGAGGAAACTCGGCGATATCAATTCTAACACTATAATGGTTGAGGTAATCGTTTGTATAACACGGTTATACAGAGGGTTAAACAAACACAGCAGCGTTCTCTTTAGAGGCAGGAATTCGTAAATTGCAATACAGAGCTATAGAAACAGTTCAACACTTTCAGAAGGAAAGATTTATTACTGAAAGGTCAAACGGGTGCAATAAAAATATTTATAGAAAAAGATGCAACTAAGATATATATATAAATATACAGAGACCAACAGCACAGCAAAGAGATATCAGAGAGAGGTGAAAGGGTTAAGGTACTTGCCACAGTCCTGGGTTAGCAGATCCAAGTTTCAGAGCGAAACTGCGCGGGGTCTCCCCAGGTGGTACTGATGTTAAAAAGGGAGACGTCTTCAACTTCTTTCTCTTAGGCCTGACAGCCCAATTTGTAGTTCCCCAGCAGGGGGTGTCTCTGAAGTCAAGGACCAATACCCCGTTTAGGGCGTGGAGGTCTGGGCGGATACCTCAACTAGAGCCAAAATCTCTCACACTCATATTTTGGCCATAACGTTCCATCTGCACAAGTGACATTCCACCCACGGGTAGATTATTATGTACATCTGAGGATTGATTAGATATGAATTATGAAATTATACACTGAACGGTTCACGAGATCTACTTTTCTGCTTTCCTATGTATTCGAGTGACCTATCAAACTGCTCTGCTCCTCTTAGCCAATATGACGATATTTCTGGTTTTTATGTAAGTCTCTCATATTCCAAGATATGAGACATAGCGGAAAAATGAATCTTTTAAAAAAGCTGGTTCAATGTCTTTTGAACTCCTGGAAGGCTGTGTTATCTTTTTACGAGGTGTTAAATGGCACAGGTTGCTCAGACAGCCAGGCCCATGCTCCCTTGGGGATTTTATAGCACATAGCCCCCTGCTGGGCTCTGGCCTCCTGTGACACTTTTAACACACATATGTCCCTGTGAATTAACAGAGAGGGAAGGAGGAGAATGAGGGGGAAATATGTTTGTCAGGATGGTTAACCCCTTTGCCAAGATGAAGGTTGAAGCCAAAATGGTTGAACCGCGTCCATCTCTGGGTGTACGCCTACCACTATGGTCCCAACAGTACTCACTGGAACATTCAGAAGTTTAGAAATCCTTCTGTAACCAATACCATCAGTATGTTTTGCAACAACAAGGCTGCAAAGATCTTGAGAGAGCGCTTTGCTTTTACCCATCATGAGATGTTTCTTGTTTGATGCCTTGGTAATGAGGCACCTTTTTATGGGCCATCAGTTGAGACTGAACCAGCTGATATTAATTTGCACTGACAAGGGGCAGGATTGCTTTCTAATTACTGATAGATCTCAGCTGGTGTCTTGGCTTTCCATACCTTTTTGAGCCTTATTTTCTTTATGTGTTCAATACTTTTCCCCTGCGTCATTCCATTTTATTACACATAATTTCTGAACTTACTTGTTTTGGTTTCTTTGTATGTATGGATTGCATGGGTTGTTACTGATATGTGGTGAAAATTTCATGTCAATAGCACCTTTAGAAATATAGTGAAGTGTTCAATACTTATTTTACTCGCTGTATTTGTACATTTTAAATTGCACCTTACTCGAAATGGTGAAAATCGAAAGTACACAAAAATTTCTCCAAAAATCCAGGTGTGTTAATATTTCACTTAACAGCTTTCAGAATTTTTAAAAGACCCTCCAAACCCTATATTTTCTAAAAGCACATGACCAGTAGAATAAAAAGAAGGTGCTACTGATTTTTTTTTTTTTTAGGCACCACAATAGTTGTGCAAATGTTTATCCAATCTCTAGTTTCACTAAAAAACCCACTAAAATCTTTATTTGCACACAAAACCACAACATAACTTACAAAATTCCTGTTAAATTCCTACTAAGGCCTCGTTCAATGGGGTGTGGTAAAGCGTATGCCCATGGTGGGCAGGCCATGTGCAGGCAGTCCAATTCATGTCAACTGGTACACAGCAGCTGCAAGGACAGATCTCACATCCGTGCGGGTGTAGGTGCATTGCCCTAAACGCAGACACTATGTGTTAGGGGCATACACCAACATGGATGTCAAGTTGGGAGCAGTGGCTGTGTCGATGTAGCCGCTGTGTCCCAAATTACATCAATAGGACTGCCTGTATGGGGATGCACGGATTACCTGTGCATCCCTGTGCAGATAAGCATGGCCTCGCTGTATTACGGCCCCTGTGAACAAAGCCTTAGGCCTTGTTTAGACTTGCGGTTAGGGGCGGCAAAAAAAAAGAAAAAAAAAGAAAAAGAAAATCGCAGTTGAGCTGCATGTTTGCCATCTTCCAAACACCCCCCTTAAGCTGTAATAGGCAATGGAGTTGCATAGCTTCCTCCAATCGGGATTTGCAAGCACGTCAACAATGAGTAAAATAGTGAAGCGAGCGCTTTTAAAATATGGTCAGAAAAGCAGCTTGCATAAGGATAGCCCCTAAAATCCTACAACATAAATATATGTAATCAAAATGCAGCGCTCCAATAAATAAAGTAAAATAGTGATATAAATTGCTCAAAGTTATGCGCTAGCAAGTGGAACATATGTGGTGTCTTAATGAAGACAGTAATTAATATAAAGTGACATCAATAATCATCACATCATAACACATTAAATCGCATAAAAATAGTATATAATTATATTAAAGTCCATAAAATATTCAAAAGGTGCGTCAATATTCCCAAGTTTGGAAGGTATCAATCATTCCCATTAAACTTGCAATGATAATAAAGTGCTCATGACTTTCATGATATGGAAAAAAGGGGTGTGCTTGCACTCACTGGACGTATAGCAATATTACGCATATAATATAAAGGGCACTAGTAGTCATCTGGAACCCGATGGGAATATGGCACTCCGATGGCGCTTGGTATACCCTGGGAAAGACCTCCAGACCTCTCAGTGGACCCTCTCAGTTAGTGGGAACTGCTCATTGGTATTAATTGCACCCGGCATCAGGTAAGCTCAGCAGGAAATCCACTTTAAGCAGCTCAAGTAAGCCACCAGGACAAAGAGCTTATATAGTGTAGCAATTTTTATTAAGCCAATGGTGATATACATATATCAGGGCAGCATACTGTAATTTTATTAAGCCAATGGTGATATACAGTTGTGTTCAAAATATTAGCAGTGTTGAAAAAAGTGAATAAAGCTCAAAATCCTTCTAATAGCTTTTATTTCCATAAACACAAATGCATTGGGAACACTACACATTCTATTCCAAATAAAAACATGAAGAAATATGTAGCAAATTTGTGTTCCTCTAAAACAATTGAAGAAAAGTGAATATTAGACTGTTCAAAAAAATAGCAGTGGTTGTATTCTTTACAAACTCAAACATTCACTAAATAAACTGAAAAATGTTTGAAGATTTTGCTTTCCTTTGAATCACTTAATATTTAGTTGTATAAGCACTGTTTCTGAGAACTGCTGTACATCTGTGTTGCATGGAGTCAACCAATTTCTGGCACCTGTGAACAGGTATTCCAGCCCAGGATGATTGGACTACATTCCACAGCTCTTCTCTATTTCTTGGTTTTGCCTCAGAAACTGCATTTTTGATGTCACCCCACAAGTTTTCTATTGGATTAAGATTCGGGGATTGGGCTGGCCATTCCATAACATCAATCTTGTTGGTCTGGAACCAAGATGTTGCACGTTTACTGGTGTGTTTGGGGTCGTTGTCTTGTTGGAACACCCATTTCAAGGGCATTTCCTTTTCAGCATAAGGTAACATGACCTCTTCAAGTATTCTCAAACTGATCCATGATCCCTGGTATGCGATAAATAGGCCCAACACCGTAGTATGAGAAACATCTCCATATCATGATGCTTGCGCAACCATGCTTCACTGTCTTCACAGTGTACTGTGGCTTGAATTCAGTGTTTGGGGGTCGTCTGACAAACTGTCTCCGGGCACTAGACCCAAAAAAGAACAATCTTACTTTCATCAGTCCACAAAATGTTGCGCCATTTCTCTTTAGGCCAGTCAATGTGCTCTTTGGCAAATTGTAACCTCTTCAGCACGTCTTTTTTTCAACAATGGGACTTTGCGGGGGCTTCTTTCAGATAGCTTGGCTTCACATAGGCATTTTCTAATTGTAACAGTACTCACAGGTAACTTTAGACCTGCTTTGATCTTCCTGGAGCTGATTGTTGGCTGAGTCCTTGCCATTTTGGCTATTCTTTTATCCATTCGAATGGTAGTTTTTTTCGCTTTCTTCCACGTCTTTCAAGTTTTGGTTGCCATTTTAAAGCATTTGCAATCATTTTAGCTGAGCAGCCTATCATTTTCTGCACTTCTTTATATGTTTTCCCCTCTCCAATCAGCTTTTTAATCAAGGTACGCTGTTCTTTGAACAATGTCTGGAACGACCCATTTTCCTCAGAATTTCAGAGAGAAATGCACTGTAACCAGCATGTACAAGATTTGGTGCCTTCCTTTCTTAAATATGGGCAATAATTGCCACCTGTTTTTCAAAGAATGAATGACCTCACTAATAGAACTCCACACTGCTATTATTTTGAACATGCCCCTTTCAATTAGTGATTCAATTACACAGAATCAGCAGCATGCATGTCATGACTGTTGGATTTCTATTACACACTACATTATTACTACACCTGCTAGTAAATTTTTTGCCATGTAGAAATATCATTTCTATCAAAAACAGTGATTGATCAGGTGATGTATGACTGCTATTATTTTGAACACAACTGTACATACATACACAAACGTGATTTTTTGCATACCCAATGCCACACTGTAGCAGTATTTCTGCTATAGGGCAGTCGGGGAATCGGTTAAAAGCTGAAACCTGGGCTAATTTCTCTGTAGAGTTTACTAATGTACTGTAACTTTTGAACAGACTATTACCATGCAGATGTTACCATACAAAGATATAGTGGTGAGAGTTAAAATATTTCTTTGCAGTCTGGACTAAACTCTGCAGTAATGATCTTATATATGGTTATGTAATGACAAATCATTATTATGGTCCCATGTGCAGTTTTATATTTGTAACTAGAAAAGTGTATTTTGAATTTAGCATATCCTGCTATACGTCTCTTGTGCAACTTGCTGTCAGTTGACACAGGGCAATATGCCCTAGAAATATATGAACATTTATGTGTAAATATACAGGGGGTTGAACAAAACTATGGAAACTCCAGGTAAAAAACACAAAATTGTTACCCGATATGGTGTTGGACTGCCTTTGGCATCTAAGACGGCCTGAATACTTCTGGGAATTGACAAATATAAGTCTTGGATGGTGGATAATGGAATCTGATACCACTATTCATGCAAAAATCGTTCCAGTTCCAGAGGCATAAAACGAGCCCGAACCTTGTTCTCCAAAAGTGACCATAGTGGCTCTATGACATTGAGGTCCGACAACTACGGCGCTCAGGGAAGGTGCAAGTGACTTCTGCATGCTCATCAAACCACGATTTGACAACATCATGATGTGAATCAGAGCATTATCGTCTTGGTAAATGCCGCTGTCTTTGGAAACAATGTCTGCACCATGGGGTGCACATGGTTGGCCCAAATTTATACATAGTTGCTGGCAGTGACTCTACCTTTAAAAAGGTGTTGATTGGGCCTGCAGAATACCAAGAAATGGCTGTGTTGCCACCATGCTTTACCATTGGGTGGTTGGGTACAGTGTGAAGCTCCATTCATCGGACTAGATTACATTCTTCCACTGATCGATAGTTCACGATTTACGGGTGTTGCACCAATCTCTCCTCTTTTGAGCATTAATATCAGTCACTAGTGGTTTGGCAATTGCAGCTCGCTCATTAAACTTTTGCTTATGGAGTTCCCTCCACAGTGTTTTGGAAGGCTGGGATTGAGCTCTGCAGTAATTTTTGCAGTATTCTTAGTCCGGGTCACAAGCCTGTCCTTTTGTCCCTTTCAGTCAGTTGAGCATATCAACTGCGCTTATGCTTATCAGATGACATTTTCCTGGAAACTGTGTATGCCGTCATAATTTTAATACTGTACCACCCTACACTGAAAAAAAATTGGCAACTTCAGTCAGAGGCACCAGCTAAGGGGGCACCAACAATTTGCCCTCTTTGAAACTCAGTAAGCTCTGACATTACTTCGTATTACTAGCAGTGAATGACGAAAGTGAGGCTTCCCAGCTGTTAACTAGTTGTCTCATCACACAGCAGAAGCAAA